AAATTTAGAAACAGTTCAATTTACATTTTTGAGAACTGAAACAGTGGCACAGGGGTAAAGCCCACTGCCCATGTCCGGAGGCATTATTTCTTGCTGTTGCCTTCACAGGTTTCAGTCCCTTCACATCCTCCCCTCTCTTTTTCAGTTCTGTTTACTTTCAGCTGACATCAAATATAGATAGCACCAGTAAATTAAAAAAAACACTCAAAGCTGTGAGATAAAAGTTTTTCCAAGTCTCACTTGACAAATTCAAAATGCGTCAAGCATTTTCAGTTACCTAAAGCAAAGGGGGTATTTACAATTAGGCAATACTAGGCAGTTGCCATGGCCCCAAGTTCGTGGGGGCCCCATAAACTCTGTTTACATGTATTGTTAATATAACAATTTCGTATTTATGCACATTAATTATTGTTTTGAAAAAAATCCTTTCGCTAAAATGCCATCACAACACTTATAACATAAAGTGCGTAAAGCCATCCCCATCCCCCCGCTGTCATGATTCATGCAGCTATTATTTCATACAAATGAAAAATGGAGAACAAATAAGCAGACCATGGCTTGTCTACAGCAAAAAGAAGGACTATGTTATTTACTTTTGCCGTCACTTTTTTGGAAACACAGGAAGGAACAATCCGTTAAGTGAGCTCAGTGCTTTGAAAAGGTCTTTCAGTTCTTTTGAGACAGCATACAAAGTAAGCTGAGTACAAAACATAGAGAGGAAAACAACAATAAAAAGGACAAGAAGAGAGAGACAAAACGTAGAACAAATAATGTATGTCTATTCTAATAAAGTTTCTGTATCTGTATAATGGGTCTGTTTTTATGTGTAGTCTTCTAAATTCAGAGGGCCCCCCGCCTGTCTTTGCCTAGGGCCCCAAATTTCCTAAATCCGCCCCTGCCTAAAGGAGGAGGCCATATGGCTAACACACAGTTAAAAAAGTCCAGTGTCAGTGGGGCATGACAGAGTTTTCTAATATTTCCACCTGTAGCCCAAACACAGAACTGCTCTTAAGTTATCAATAATGGAACCTTTTTGCCAAGATTCCTACTTCTCAGGTTCTCTGCATCTCTTTCTAAAAGAAACACATGCTACTAACAATTTATTTATATATAACTAAATCTAAGGACTGGATTTCTGATTTGAAGAACTTGCGCAGGTGACTAAAAAAATTATTTTCCTCAAACCCAGCAAGGTAATACATGCAACTTTAACTTCAACCAAACAGCAACTAACCACTTCCTTTTTACACCACCTCCTCTGCAGCAACATTTAAAGCAGACAATAATGTTCCAGCCTGTCTCTCACTGTCTGATGGTCATCATGTTCAGCCTGAAACAAGCCGCTCTGCTCTTCATTCAGCTCCTCAATACGCGCTGCGTCTTTGCAGGTACAGTTGAGATTTATGTTTGTGATGCATGATGGTTAAACTATAATGTTCTTTAATTTGTTTATTTGTTTTCTTCCATTTCAGTGCCTGCCATAAAAGACCACAGAGATGTTCTGGTATCAAGAGGAGATTCAGTTATATTCATTTGCAACATATCCAACTTAGACTCAACGTTTATCCTATGGACCAAAGACAGACCTTTCTTTATTTACTCCTTCTACTTTAATCAAACATTTTAAAATTTCTCCTCTAACAGACTGAGAATAGAAGCAAACATGCCGTCTACTCTTAATATTATTTGTGTTCAGCATGATGATGCCGGACTTTATACATGCAGCATAACTAACCAAAAAGGCATTAACAGTATAACATGGAACTTAACAGTATCGGAGACCCAAAACGGTACATAGATCAGTTACCGAACACTTCTGCAATAGATACTGTGATGATTAGTTTAAACTATGAGCTGTGTTGATGATCTGTTTGTTTATTTCCAGAAATCAGTTTCTCACAGTACGTTACATTCACACTATCATCTGCCCTGGGGTTGCTTTTATGTTGCACTGCATTAGCTGTCTGCCTCTGTAGGTGAGTTATATCTAATTTACTGCTTGCTGTTCGGATGAAGAGCTGCAGCTGAGCAGTTGATAATGTTTACTATAACATTCAGTTATGTTACAACATTGTGTGTCAAATTAGTTTCATATATAAGTTAATTGATCTCTTATTTATTTTTACCCCTTCAATAATTGATGAATGCGATGCAGTTTTGATTTACCATTTTTAAATTTACATTTATAGCCAGGAAAAAGGATTTTAAAATTAAATCTTTCCACACCACTTTACATAAAATGCAATGATGTGACTATGAGAGCAATAAAATGTAGAGAGCAATCATAAAAGCTTGTAGTGTTATTAAAAAAAACATGAAAAATATTCCCGTATAGATTGTTATTCTGCATTAGTTGTGATTTTGTGCCAATTCTACACATTCAAAGTGCACTGGAATTTAACCATTACAATTATTATTATTATAATTAACAATAGTATTGCTATCATTAATATAAAAATAATTATTGCATATAAATAGCATCATAAATATTATTTTGTTGATTATGTTTCATAGCTTTGAACACAAATGGTTATAAAAATGAGCTGCATTAATCAAAGACCATAGGGGTAAAAACATGCCAGCATCATTGTAAATATAATATTAGACACATGATAATGTTGACTTAAGTCTAAGGCACAGTGTACACAATATTTCCCTCTTAAAATAGTCAAGTTTAGCAAACTATGACTTCTAAGCTCCCATATATTTAAAACCACTGTTCTCATACTTGTTTATTTTACAAACTAGCACCAAGAAATTGCATTAAAGAGTAATGTTTTGATTCTAATTCACAGCGTATCATTTTGTCTAAGCAAGAAGAACAAAACCAGAGACCGAACCTGGAATCTGAGTAACAGCAGTATCTTTAGCTGCGCAGAGTATACTGTTCAGCTTGGAGAAAAGGTTAGGGGAGTTTTATTTGTTGGTCAATTTGTATTCTTAATAAAGTGTTTTATTTATTGCTCAATATTTGTTTGTTTTTTTGTTTTTTTCTTAATTTAATTTTATTTCCCTCTTTTTATATTTGGTAGGAAGCAATTCCTTCACATTCCAAAGCTAAACCAACACGGAAGAGAATTGGTAAGGAAGATCAAGCGGCATCTCAAATCACCTTAAGAAAAAAAAGCAGAAGAGAAACCTCTGAATTAAATAACAAATAAAGAGCAAGATCCAGTTTACAAAATGATACATTTGTACAGATTTACAAGCTCAAAGACTTTTATATATATTTATATATAAATATTTCTGCTTTTGATTTTCTTTTTTATATTGTGGAAATGTAAATGAATTATTACATTCTGCTATGTTTTTTTTTTTTTATTATTATGAAGTACCTCAGGAGGATTTTCCCTCCCCTTCTGTTCTGTAAATGTATTATTGCAATTTCCCAAAAAACAATCTATAGCAATAAATACTTTACAACTCACACTCCTTCAAAGTTCAAGTTCAGCAGTCTTGACAATTTTAGTCAAGAGGGAGCTTAATTATTTTTCCAGCAGAGGGCATATGTCCGTTTAAAGCATTTTACACTGTAAAACAAGGAATTCTCTTCCTATTATGCTTATATATACTGAGAAAGTTCTTCTCTCATTCAGTAATCGCTTCATCTTTTTCTGGTATGGGGCTGCAGCTTCCTATCAATGATAGGTACTATGGTCCAGTTAAAGCTATTAGTTGGTCTGAAATTTTACCATTTCTTTATTTAGAAAAATATTTCATATTTATATCCATCATAACAGCTTAATGTTAATGGGAGAATTAGCTAATTGAAGTAACATGCTGAAGTCTCTTTGCAGGGGGCTTGATACCAAATATACAGGGTCAGTTGGACAGGGTGTGGCCTCTAAAAAGCCTGATTGGGATTTTTTTGTGTGAGAATGTTTATTTACTGTTTTGTTTTTTCAATTTATTGATGTCATGATGAAATATCCCCCAGGCTATATAAAGTTATTGATAGGCTGACACTCACAGAAAGTGTGTGAACAGCAGCGATGAGAGGATTCCACAGAATTGAGAGGTGTAAGAGACTTCATAATGGTGGAGCTAAATTTACGACATTTCTCTTGGCTAATTCCTACCTGATTTCACAATATGTATATTTAGCTCTTTCTGATGTTCCCTCTTTGCTGTTGACCAACAGTGAAAAATAGTTGGTTTCCACTTGTTGGTTTCAGGACTCCGCCAACAGAGCTGTGCAGTTTTTGCCGGTTCTGCACCCTTCTGCTTTCTCCGCAGGTGTCCGCAGTTGACAGGTGGGCCACCTACGGCTGGTTCAGCAGCCTCTGATCGCGCTATTAGAGCAGCATATGACAGCAGGAGGACGCCGGAGTGTTAACCATAGCGGTACGCCTAAGGGCACAGTCTCTCGACAGAGAGCTGACTTCCATCCCTAATTTCTACCTCTGTGGTCCCCAGGTTTCCTCTTGTGCCAAATCCTAGTTCTGAGTCTCCACTAGACCCTCCCTTTTCACCTGGCTTCAAGCAAGGTGCTTAGAGTCTGGTTTCTCCTGCTACCTTGGATCACAGGAAAGTAAGAGCTGTTCGGACCACCCTCTAACCCACGCCCAACTGGTCCCTCGGACACCTGCCACCTACTCCATCGATCTGCGCTGAGTCCGCTCCGTCCTCCCCACGTCCGGTGGTAAGCTCGCGTTCCGCTGTATATTTTCTCCTGATCGTCTTTCCCGTCTAATTACCTACCTTTCCTTTCAGAAGTTGAATGGGTCCCGGTGCTGTTGTTCCCTCATCGTCTCCATTGCTTCCATTTTCTCTGGTTCAACTCAATAAACAGTTAACTGATCCCTGTTGCCGAGTGTGGTNCTGCCCTGGGGTTGCTTTTATGTTGCACTGCATTAGCTGTCTGCCTCTGTAGGTGAGTTATATCTAATTCACTGCTTGCTGTTTGGTTGAAGAGCTACAGCTGAGCAGTTGATAATGTTTACTCTGTCATTAAGCTATGTTACAATATCATGTATCACATTATTTTCATATATAAGCTAATTGATTTCTGATTTATTTTTACCCCTTCAATAATTGATGAATACGTTGCAGTTTTAATTTACCATTTTTACATTTACATTTATAGCCAGGGAAAAGGATTTTAAAATTAAATATTTCCACACCATTTAACATAAAATGCAATGATGTGAACATGAGAGCAATAAAATGTAGAGAGCAATCATAAAAGCATGTAGTGTCATAAAACTGTCTCCATACTTGTTTATTTTACAAACTAGCACCAAGAAATTGTATTAAAGATTGATGTTGTGATTGTAATTCACAGCGTATCATTTTGTCTAAGCAAGAAGAACAAAACCAGAGATCGAACCTGGAATCTGAGTAACAGCAGTATCTTTAGCTGCGCAGAGTATACTCCTCAGCTTGGAGAAAAGGTTAGAGGAGTTTTATTTGTTGGTCGATTTCTATTTTTTAAAAAGTGTTTTGTTTATTGCTCAATATTTGTTTTTTTTGTTGTTGTTGTTGTTGTTGTTTTTTTTTAAATTTAAGTTTTATTTCCCTCTTTTTAATTTGTTAGGAAGCAATTCCTTCACTTTTCACAGCTAAACCGACACAGAGGAGAATTGATAAGGAAGACCAAGCAGCATCACAGATCACCTTAAGAACAAAAAGCAGAGGAGAAACCTCTGAATTGACAAATAAAGAGCAAGATCCTGTTTACAAAATGATACATTTGTACACATTTACATGCTCAAAGACTTGTGTTAAAAGAAGTCTGCCTTCCTTGGAAATGCCTTTTTCAAAACAGACTTGTAATGCTGGACAATGATATATAATGAAGGACAATGAAAATATTTCTGCTTTTTATTTTCTTTTTTATATTGTGGAAATGTAAATTAATTATTACATTCTGCTATGTTTGTTTTTTTTATTATTATGAAGTACCTCAGGAGGATTTTCCCTCCCCTTCTGTTCTGTAAATGTATTATTGCAATTTCCCAAAAAACAATCTATAGCAATAAATACTTTACTTTACTGATGTTCCCTGATGTTCCCTCTTTGCTGTTGACCAACAGTGAAAAATTGTTGGTTTTCCACTTGTTGGTGTCAGGACTCAGCCGTCACAGCTGTGCAG